CGAGTTTGAGTCGAGTTTAAATCGAGTCGAGTTAAATATTTAACTCGACTCGAATTTGATTTGACTTGCAAATCATCGAGTCAAAAAAATATAAACTCGACTTGATTTAAACTCGACTCGACTTATCTGACTCGTGAGTTAACTCGACTCGTCCAGAACTCTAAGCCTTACCACTTGTTGAATGGCCTTATAAAAACTCAAAGTTTTTTAACAGTTAGATCCCAGCACTTTTATGTAACCTCAAACACTTTAATATCAGTCTATCTATACTAAAGCAATATACCCATAGAATTCAAGGTAAATCTACCACTATTCAATCAATTATCCCACAAGACTATAGAAAAGCAGCCCCTTTCTTAGCCAAATATTTTCTAATGTTTGTGGAACAATTAATTAGTCAAGATGAAAAGTCACTATATACTGCCAATAATCTGAGATATTTGTCATCTATTCTCAGGAAAAGACTGCATCTGAAATGGTATCTCAAAATTAGAGACGCATTTAATGTTAACGCACTTAACTCATTATCTGCAAATACAATATATAGACAGAATGCATTACATGAATTTCCGATGCTACCACTACACGATAAAATAACAGTCTGTTCATTTATTTTATATTGGGACTGCAATGCTAATACAATAATAATAGGTCATGTTCTGAAGATATCAGGCAGTTTTGCTGATATCATTCATTACGCATATACCTTCTTTACTGAGATAATTCTGCATCAATGTGACAGATGTTTACTACACCGACCCACGTTATTCAAGAGTAATTTTTCTGAACTCAAAAAATATAATTGCATAGTAACCACGTCCCTATGCTTCTGTGTAAAAATAGTACTTAAAGATAGTTGGACACAACATGTCAGCGCCTGGTCTTGGATTCTTATGAAGGATATCACATTTTATTTTTTTGGCCGTTTTTATAATCATACCTCCCATTCACCCTTGATTGATTTTCGCCATCCTGCACCCTTCTTACTAATATCAAAGTTTATTATGTTATTACATAATCAAGAACTTCTAACTCTTTTGCATCAATTTTCTGTTGCCACACATTTAGAATTCTATACAGATGGTTCTCTTATAGGCTTGAGCACTTCTTCTATGAGAATGAGTATGGCTTGACTGCAAATGAACTCATGTTCACCTATGGTTTCTTTTTCATCTGCATTAGTCACTACATTCTTCTCATCTTCAATCGCAAAGCTAGCAGCAATATTTACTGCTATTCTCATTGCTCCACAGAATTTTCAAGTTACAATAATAACAGATTCACAAGTTGTGATTAGACAATTCCATAATTACAAAAGAATTTTGTATTTTTCTCCATCCACTAGACCCTTGGACCCCTATTTAAGATTAATAATTTCTCAATTTGGCTGAGTCTATTTGAAGTTATCAAATCACAATTCCTCAACATCCACCTTTGTAAAGTTAAAGTACATTCAGGAAACACCTTGAATGACAAAGTTGACCTACTAGCAAAAAACGCTTACGAGAAAGAAGCGCTCAGGTTTGATCTCTCTTACATCAACCACTACTACTACAAATATGATAATCTGGAGATCTCAATTCCCATATGTCTCTTTATGAAGAATATTACACAATCTATATTGTTTGATAAAATACAACACCTTCATGTGATTAACAAACACCAGCATTTGAACATTAACTGGACTGCTACGACCTTCTACATTAATGACAATATTGCTAAAGCACATACCTCATATGAAGCCTCAGCAGTCCGCAAGAAAAATTCCAAAGACTCTTAGAAATGCTTCCTACTATGGAAATTTTAAAAGAAAGACATCCTGACATCTTTGATTAATCATGGTTTTGTATCAAATGTAATTGCACAGATGAAACCTTCTCCCATATTTGGGAATGTCCAGTTACTTAGACTCGAATGAAGAATATCATACAAGACTCATAACAAGTCTTACAAAATTTGATCCAAAACAATGGCTCAACTATAAACATCTCTGATTTACACATATGGTACATGTCTACTGAATCTTCCCCCTACCTATAAGTTCTCATAAAAGGAATAATTCCGCAAATACTATACATATTTGTTTACAATGCTATAGAATCAAAGGACTTTACTTACAGTAGCGGTCATAAGTATCCGACCACCCGAGATCGTCCAAAATTATTATATAACTACCCCTTAAATTTTC